TAGTGTATAGCAAAACCTAAATTACGAAAATATTTCGATTTAATATTATATAATAATATTATAAAATCACCAAAACTGTCTACTTCAATGTAATTTTTTCCATGTATTACGTTATAAACATATCTATTTTAATTATTTTGTCAAAATATATGTAATGTTAAATATCCAAAAAAATTTTAGATCGTTTTATTTCGTCAATTATTTTATATAATTATTTTAAAATACTATAAATCATAATGCGCAGACGACGTTCGATTCAGTACGCTCCGGGTAATCCAAACGATAAGACGTACCTTCTGTGTACTAAATATCGGGAATTTGTCAATAAAACAAAAATTACAAATTATTCATCTAAATTTATTTTATCGTCTTCAAAGTAGGCCCCATCGCTTGCAATACAACATCTCCAGCGCTTCACCCAGTCTTCCCTACATTTTTCATAGGCTATTTGCGGTATGGCCTTTAGCTCATTCAGCGAATTTTTTGTTATGGCTTCTATCGACTCAAAACGTTTTCCTCGAAGTGGTAATTTTAACTTGGGAAATAAAAAAAAGTCAGACGGAGCCATATCAGGTGAATACGGTGCTTGGTCGAGAACTTTTGTTGAATTTTTCGCTAAAAACTCTTTCACTATAATGGCTGTGTGTGATGGTGCATTATCATGGTGCAGCATCCATGAGTTGTGTTGCCACAAATCTGGACGTTTTCGGCGGATACTCTTACGCAAACGCTTCATGACGCCTAAATAATATTCTTTATTCACTGTTTCTCCCTTTGGAAGGAATTCGGAGTTAACCACACCACGGTAGTCAAAAAAAACTGTCAGCATCACCTTGATTTTGGAGCGACTTTGCCGCGGTTTTTTGGGTTTCGGCTCGTTTTCGAGGCGCCATTCTGAAGACTGTTGGATTGTTTGCATGTCGTACTCATAAGCCCATGTCTCGTCGCCAGTTATTATAAGTTTCATAAAGGTCGGATCCGTAGAAGCTCGGGAAACCATGTCTTCAGCGACATGCTTTCGCTGCGCTCTTTGAACAAAATTGAGCTCTTTTGGAACTAGTCGAGCGGCGATGCGTTTCATGCCTAAAATGTCAATGAGAATGTTGTGGACGGACTTAAAAGATATGTTCACCTCACTAGCCAACGCTCTCAGACTCATACGCCGATTTTCGAGCACTAGCTTCTTGATTTTGTCGATGTTTTCTTTGGTCGTAGCGGTTGAAGGTCTACCAGAACGAGGCAAGTCTACTACTACTTCTCGGCCTTCTTTAAAAGCCTTATACCATTCATAAGCCCTTGTTTTCGATATACACGATTCGCCGTACCTAGGTATTTCGCAACATTTTTAGTGATTCACCACATGAAATATCATTCGAAACACAAAATTTAAGGCACACTCTTTGTTCAACAATATTTTCCATTGTAAAAATCGCCGAGAACTCAAAACTATGACCAACAAAAAGTGTAGTTTAAAACAAATTAAATGACAGATCCCGCTCAAACTTTGCGCGCTAAATCAGTACAGTGCTACCAACATGCAGTAAAAAAATTAGAACGACCTCTTTTACGTGGGTCTTCTTATTGACTTATTCCTCACTTTTTACACAGAGTAGTATTACTTTTTCTCACCGACGCCGCGCGATCGCGTTGATACACCGATAGGGCTATACTACACTATAATATAACTAGATACCTATAGCACCATCGAGCATTTTAAACGATTGAGACTTTTATAAGCGATATTTTTGGTAGTAAGTAATTTTGAAATATGTTTATGATTGTAATATTTAAATATTAAATGATATAATGGTGGCAAATTTTCATTTCATACATATTTTTTTGGAATGAGTAATGAACGTAAGCCATTCGGATCAAGTATAAATACAAAATCGTTGGCTTTCACCTTTGGCTCCTTGGCGGAGTGACTTGGTAATGAGTTGTAGCGCTGAGCGCCGCGGGTTCGAATCCCACATGGAACAAAAATTTGTATTACCTACAAATAATTGTTCCAGGTCTGGATGTTTGTCCTTGTGAAATTAATGTATTTAAACTGCCCCCACGATGTACTTAGGAAAATTCCTAGTGTGGAGATAACGTTATAATTAAACAAAGAGATGCCATCAAAAACATAACTTGTAAAATAACCAAGTCTCGTAATGATGATACGGTCGTGCCGCTGTTTTGCTCGACTTGGCGGGGGCACTACCGTGCCCCCAGATATAAAACATATGAGCCGTGCTTGAGTTGAGTAGCTCAAGGGCGTAGTGCTCGCCGTAAACGCGAACAATCCGGGTTCGATCCCCGCTAGTGTTGCCAGGTGTCCCGATTTGCGCGGGACGTCCCGATTTTCAAGGGTCTAGTGACACGTACCGATTCACCCTTGATCGGGACGCCAAATGTCCCGATTTTCACGAACCTTCTTATTCTATACTTTAATCCATAATTTTGACAGCAAAAATGATTCCATCTGTTAGCTACTACCACATTAAAATATATTTACTACGACATTGTCTCACCAGTCGAAAAAAAAAACACAAAAGTTTGAAACAGAATTATATTAAAATGAGTAATTTGAAAAATTCAGGGAGTGCAAAAAATAAACAAATAGTTCAAAAATGTTTTAATTTGCCTAAAATGAAAAAAAAAAACAGTTTTTACGATGTTTGGATGAAAAGTTATTCGTTTATGAGATCAGACCCGAATAATAATTATAAAGCACAAAAGTAAAGTAAAGTTACAGTCACAATTTCTCGCATTACTCGCATACTGTGATATTTACAGTGAGCGTTGACCATCTGTGCTAACACGGCTCTCAATAAAGCACAAAAAGGCTACAAAGAAACCTATATTTTGTAGTCATTGTAGATGTCCGGATATGAAAACCAAATCCCCGATTATTTTTACGTTCCGTCCCGAAATTTTACTTGCTATACCTGGCAACACTAATCCCCGCCGACACTAATGAAATTGTTAGTTTGATGAATTACGTTTACATTATGAAACAATAAAAGTTTATCAAATGATATATATTTTATACAATACATATTTTTCAATTAGAACATATACATATTATAATATACTCAATAGGGTGAAAATGTAAAGCTGACTTCAATTTACTAAAAGAATAAATTTCCACATATTAGCCTTCGATTTCTATACACCAAATAAGCCATTATATGGAAATTATTTTTTTATTATTTTATTTCCAATAGTATCAAAGACAGGTGTATAATCAACGATCAAAGTGAATCGTGCAACTAAAGGCAACTATTATAGCCTCGCGCTCGCTCTGACACGCACACAGAGATAACATTGTAGTGTGCGTCAATATTACGCCGTTCCAAAGCGATCGCGTAGATTTCGACTTGGACATATTTGAATATGCGCTCTTAATAACTTCAGTTTTATTTATTTTGGATTTCTTTCACCTTCTTCATCATATCGTAGTAATGATTAACCGGCTCAAACCAACAATGGCCTTTCTCAGCTTTACCAAACCAAATATGGATCTGTCAGAGTCAAATTACCAACAGGAGAATTATCGATGAATTCACACTGCAACACGCTTCCATCATGACAGTATTATTTTCCAAGGTCACTGTAGCACCAAGCCTTTAAAAACCTTCATATCTGGACCCATCCGTATAAAATATTGTTAACTAATATTGCTACTTCGTTCATACGTCTACATATTTATCCCCTTCGGCCGTCGTATAAGTTATCAGTCCGTGCATTTTGACGGTTTTGTCTTTATTTTTCACCCCAAAGAATCCGTTCTATCTCCCACGTCGTGACAGAAGAAACCTTCATCTTGTACTATAGTTACTTCCTTTGCCTGGTTTCTTGTTACCGTTACAAACGAGCATACAGTCCACCTGATGATAAGTGGATACTGTGGCACATAGACATCTACATTTATCTTAGATTAAGAATCAAAACGCAGATGCGTTGTCACCCCTGAGGACTAAGATGGAACGCCTCGTTTCCAGTAAAAAAGGGTCTCCGGAACTCTACCCTCACCATATGAAACATAGCAGTATTAGTGCATTTTACGCTGGTATTCTGTGAGAGCGTGGTCCCTCCCCGGTCGAGCCGAATAATTCGTGCTTCAAGCATGATACAGCTGCAGCTTAACGTTGTTCTTAACCACGTTGGAAGATTCCATCTTTTCTTTTCTTTTATTTACACGAGTCTCAAAAAAACAAATTATTTATTTTCTAAATCTTGTTCTCATACGCTCCAGGACAAAACATGACAGGTCGATGTTTGTTGTTTTAATTTCAGTACATATTTATAGTGCCGTATATCTCATTCGTTCATTCTTTCAGTAATTTGATTCCTAATTGAGGTAGGTACCTGAACCTAAACATTCACTTTTTTATAGAACAAGGGTGACAAACGAGCACACAGTCCACCTGATAGTAAGTGGGTGCTGTGGCCCACAGACATCTACATTTAACCTCAATTAGTATCAAAATACCAAGTGTTGTCACCCCTGGGGACTAAATGCCTCATTTCCAGTAAAAAGGGTATCCAGTACTTAAATTCACCATACGAGACACAGCAGCATTTAGTTGCTAATTTACTCTGGTATTCTGTGAGCACCAATAATATAGCTGCACTATAGTTCCACCATATATAACCACTTACCATTATGCGGACGTGAGCTCATTTAACACCATCAAATATAAAATATTATCAAATATAAAATATATAACATCTGTGTTAATAAAACACGTCTCTTAAATCTACAAATGAAAAATATATTAACTGTCACAATTTTTTATTTCACAATCATGTCAAAGTCCTATCTGATCGGATTCTCTGTAAAAACACTAATCACTAACAACTATTACAAGTCACTGACGTAGGCTCTGCAGGAACAAACAAACAGTTCCTTAAAAACACGTCCATAAATGAACCTCTCAAAGTTTATTTTAATGTATAAAATAATGTAGAAAAGTCATTAGAAAAACTATTTACAAATTGACGGATTCAATTTAGGCCTCCTCATTTAATATAGGCTTAACTTCTTCTATATGCGCAATCTCTTCATTAGAGCTTAATTCTAACATACTAGAAGATGCTGTGTCTTCAGTAGTCACTTCAGTAATACTGGATTCCTCTTTGGAACTGACTTCAGTTATGATTTCGTTTATACTTGATTCTTTCAGTATTTCAGAATCAATTATACTTGGCACTACTTCTGTTTCTATATCTTCAGTATCGGTAATAATACTTGGTAATACTTCTGGTGTAACTACTTTTGCATCACTAGTATCTGGTACTTCACCGTCACCGACGTCTAAATCGCAAATATTTATGTTTGCCATGTTTATAGCTTGTATTAGACTTTCCATGGTCTTATCATCTATTTTCTCCTCTACGCTTTCAACTGCGATGGCATTTTGGATTTCAAGTTCATCGGCAATGGGTTTCACTTCGTCTGTACACTCTTTGGCAGCACTTGGACCATCGCTCTCCGGTTCTTTTGCAAAATCACCCTTTTCAGCAGCAAGTTTCTGTGCTTGTTTCTCCGCTTTGCTCTTTTTCGATTTCGACTTCTTTTGTTTTTCTGGCTTCGCGGGCTCCTCTGTCGTGGTATTTTTATTCGTTAAGACGTTCAACTGACTTTGTAAATGAGCGAGACTCTGTCGTAATTGGACGCAGTTGGCTGCCATTGCATCGACCTGTAAGTGATGTGTAACTTAATCTCATAATTTTGTTTTAAAATTTGATCTTAATCTCATATTTTAAAATTTGAAATTTTTTAATAAATAAGTTTAATAATCACTGAAAAATATTGCAAATGAATATTGTAATGTTTTTGGAAAAAAACCTGATGTTAAGTGGATGTTGTGGCCCATAGACATCTACATTTTCTTCAATTGAAAATCAAAATGCAGATGCGTTGCCAGCCCTGATGACTGAGATGGAATGCCTCGTTTCCAGTAAAAAGTATCTCCAGTTCTCTACACTCACCATACGAAACACAACAGCATCAAGCTGCTATTTTACGCTGGTATTCTGTGAGAGTGTGGTCCTACCCCGGTCGAACTACAATATAGTTCTACCACGTAATAAAAGAGATTGATTTTATACAAGGGAGTTATAAATTTACAACACTTGAGTGACTAATTTTTGCATTGAAAATACATCATCAAACGACAAACTACAAACTATATTCAAGCAATAAATATGTTCTAGTAGCTTTATAAATATTGGATGAATTGTGTATTCATTCTACTATTTTAATATAAGGCAAATTAAATGAAAAATTGCATAATAGTTAACATTATCGCTAACCATCTACTGTCAGTTATAGAACTCTTACACAGATAAGAAAATCAATATTTTTTTTAATATGACACATTGTTTTTTATAACACCACTGCATAAAATAGATTACAGGATTATTTTTCTTCACAATCATAGTGTCACTACTTATGACTATTTTTTGATTTAAGAATATTTTTATTTTATTATTTTATATTAAAGAGAATCTATTGTATTTTTTTAATTTGGGTATCTTTAAGACCTGTCGCTAAGCTGCCTGTTTTAGTTCTAGAATTAGGGTGTCGCAAATATGACTAATCAGAAGGCAATCTTATGAATTTTAAAAAGCAGAATAAAAAAAGAAGGGAGATATGTATGTATAAGGAATCGTTATCATGTAGATTTTGCTTTTTTATTCATTTCTTTATCGTTTTTTTCTCTTCTAGGCTTACATTATTTTTTTACTTTTGTTGAAAAATATAACCTTAAAGGTTGCTTCAAAATTAAAAGCTTCTTAAAAAATCATTAAAGAAAATAAGACGAGTTTTCGTTTTGTTCCAAATGTTTAGCGACTTGGACTAAGCTAAAATTGGCAATACTGATCAATACATAGGACGTTACTTTATTTACTTTACTACCTTTTTTATAGAATGAAGATGACAAACGGGCGCACCCTCCACCTGGTGATAAATGGGTCATAGCAGTTATTTATACATTTATCCTCGGTCGCCTTTTAGTAATAAAATGGAATGCCTCGTTTCCAGTGTTCGGTTAATTTAAAGTTGCTAAATTGCTCCGTAAAGAAACATACTGTGCTAAATTGCTCCGTAAAGAAACAGTCATAATAATTAGTTAAAGTTCGCGCTTAGGGTTGTGTTAACATTCATTTTAAAGCTAATGAATCCATGATTCCAGTAGTTACATTAAAATTTCAGTGTGAGTGGAATTACTTAAATTACAAGCAAAAATATTTTAAATAATTCTGTCTAACGGTCTTGTAACTGACCTACGACAACTCGCGGATAGCTCGCTGCTGTGAGTCACCGCACCTACCGGCCGATCGTCGTCACTGCCGCTCGCTACGTATTGCTTTGTTAAGTACTGTCAACCACAGCGCTAAAATGGCACCACCACCTGCGCGGGATGTCACAACGAAGTGACTAATGACGGCGCTTATATGAAGTGTACTCAATGTAAGCAAATTTTTGACATATTTTGTGCTAATTTTAGTCCTGAAAAGTTTGCTACTTTTTCGGTGGAATTTAAGAGGTCCTGGATATGCGTTGAATGTCGCAGTAGAATACCTAAGGGCAATAATTCGCAAACCGCTGTACGCACGCATCAAATCTTAGACCAAAGTATGTCTAGTCCGACTGAAAATGTCAATATGCTCCGTGGCGGAACCCGGTTTAAGCAATCTCCTAACCAGAACCTGACATCAAGCTATGTTCTAAACGAAATTAAGGAAACTGTCGTACTGGAACTGAGGAAAACGCAAGCCAATTTTGAAGAGCAACTTACTGAAAAAATTAACAAATTACTTGCTGAGCAATTTTTGGCGCTAAAAAATGAATTTTTAGAAAAGATCAATATGGTGACGACTAAAATCCAACAATTAGAAGTAACGCTTATGACAAAAGCAGACACTTATAAGGATGCAATAACTAAGAATTTGAGTTTAAATACAACATCAATTAAAGCTGGTCATAAAACTAAAACTCAGTCCCAGATGAAAGCAAAGCCCGTCGTACAAAATGAAAAACCAAGTACCTCGCTTGCTGATTCAGTACCTGATGCAGATAGAACTATGCAGAAGTCCCGCTCTAAATCTACTCCTGCAGTTGGCGATCCTGACTCCGATAATCTTGACAAAGGCGGATGGGTGGAGGTAAGACGCAGACGATCTCGTACTTCGCTTCCTGGCGTACTTAGAGGTACCGCAGCTCCTGGATCGACACCACTTCAAGCTGATGCTAGGTGGAAATACCTACATCTGTACTATCTTCAAGAAGATACCACTGTGGAACAAGTGCGGGATCACCTTAGTATTATATGTCGCGGTGACATGAGTACCGTCGAGAAGCTGAAGTCCCGTGGGCGCTATGCTTCTTTTAAGCTCGATATTCCTCTTGAAATTGCTGAAACTGTCATGTCATCTGGCAACTGGGCTGAAGGCATATGTGTTAAGCCTTGGCGTCAGTACTTTCGTGTCAAAATCAACAGCCAACAAGCACCCTCCGAGAGTACGCGAGTTAAGGATTTTTTATCAGAATGTTCGAGGCCTAAGATCTAAAACAAGTACATTTATGAAGAATGTTACACATAGTGAATTTGACATCATAGGGTTGACTGATGCGAACTTTTCCCTCCTGGTGGGTGGGGGGGTGTACTTCTTGCTGTTCGAGACTGTTATTCTGTTTGGGTTGTTACTGAAATTGATCGTATGACTAATGACAAAGAATTAATATTTGTAATTATTAATTGCAAAAACATTAAAATATTATGCTGTCTTGTATACTTACCTCCGAGCTATAATGACGTTCAATATTTAAATGTTTTGGCCTGTATTGAAGATGTTATTTTTACATACACCGACATGAATGTATTAATTTTGGGTGATTTCAATTTGAATTCTTGTAGTGCTAATGTAAAGACCCAATTTGATTTTTTTTGTAATTTTTGTTCGCTCCACCAATTTAATACAGTGTTAAATAGACGAGGCGGTATGTTGGATCTCGTACTGAGCAATTTAGAGCCCAGTCAATTAAGTGTGTCTCTAAATTTAGATCCTTTGGTAGAAATTGATGAATATCATCCCGCGCTTGATATTATAATCAAGCTTCCACTCGCTTTTTCAAAATTCATTTCTTCTCCTACTTCGCCAACGTCATCCCTTTCCAATACGCAGAGCTACCGCTGGAACTGCAAGGCGGATTTTCATGGTCTGTATGCGGCTTTATCCAAATTAGATTGGTCAGATTTACTTAAAGAGATTGATATTGACTGTGCTGTTCAGTTGTACTACGAGAAATTGTACAACTGTATAAATCTCTTTGTACCCGTTTCTTTGCGCACTACCACTAATCACCGATATGTGTATCCTAAATGGTATACTGCTGAAATTATAAATACTATTAAAAGTAAATACTATCATCTTAAGAAGTATAAAAAGGAAGGTAAAGAATTCAATAGGCAAATGTTTAAGTATTATAGGGAGCAGGTAAAAAAACTAATAGATAGGGAATATAGGCAATACCTAAAAACTGTACAACGTAATATTATTAACGATCCAGTCAAATTTTGGGATTACGTTAAAGACAAAAAATCAGGAGGTAGAAGACGAAGATAATATATTAAAGAAACTGAAGTAGAGGGGCAGGCTGCTGCTGATGCCTTTGCAGAATTTTTCAGCTCTGTGTTTCATCCGAATATACCCGTTTTGGATCCTATTAAGGCTGTTCAAGCTGCACATTTTAACCAGGACATTACGTCCGTATGTACAGGGTGTTAGTGTAAACACCGTTGTCCTTGAAACCAGTGGTTTGGTTTCACTTATAGAACGTAAATTCAATGAAAAATAACAACATTTTTTTTAAGTCAAATCTCATTTTTTCCTTAGAATTATTTCACCCTAGGCATATACAAAATTCGAGTCAAAATATCGTGGCGGCAGGGACCTCGCGCACAGCTGAGCGGTCAAGGCCATCAGCCGACAGTCCATAGCGTCACTGTTTCAGTTTTTCAGTCGGCCGCTGCTTCGGTAGCGGTATGTACGTGTTTATTTGAATTATAAGCGCTCCGCGCGCCGTACCGCGTAGTTTTGTGCGAGTGTGTTTTACTTTGTAATTATGTCGTACACAAACGTGCAGTGGACCGAAATGGTCCGACTTTATGCGTTAAGTCACGACAATGTGAACGAGGCTCGACGAATGTACGCAGAATCATTCCCTGGACAACCTGTGCCAAATCGTGAAACTTTGTTGGCGGCCACGCAAAGGTTACGTAGCTATGGACAGTTTACCGTGCCGGTTCATGCTCAGGGGCGTTGCAACCAGCAGCTGCCAGTTACCCTTCAAGAACGTATCTTGGATTTCTTCGCGGAGAACCCAGAGGAGAATACCAGGCGGGCGGCCTGTATTTTCGGTGTTTCTCACTGGACAATTAGGAAAATTCTGCACATTGATCGTCAACATCCGTATCATTTTCAGCCGGTTCAAGAGTTAAATGAAAACGACCACATACCGCGGGTGGTATTTTCGCAATGGCTTATTCAAAACTTTGATAACGTTTCCATTTTATTTACGGACGAAGCAGTGTTTACTAGGTCGGGCATTTAGAATGTTCGTAATGAACATTACTGGAGTCGGGTAAACGAACACCGAATACGGCAAAACAGTTATCAGCACCGTTTTTCCGTAAACGTGTGGGCGGGAATTCTAGACGGCAAACTTCTTGGACCTTATTTTATTGACGGCCATTTGAATGCACAGTCGTACATGGCTATTTTACGACATGTATTCGACAGGATGTTGGAAAATGTGCCTCTTCGTTCACTGAGAAACCTCTACTACCAACATGACGGTGCGACTGCACATTTTCAGCTGCAAATCAGGGCTATGTTGGATGAGGAGTTTCCTGGGCGATGGATTGGACGTAGAGGGCCAGTTGCGTGGCCAGCGCGTTCGCCCGACCTTACCCCGCTGGACTTTTATCTTTGGGGAGAAGTGAAGCGCCGAGTGTATGCAACTAAGTTCCGTAATACGTCGGAACTCAAAAGGCGAATTCTTAGTGTGTTTCGAGACTTACAAAATGACACTGTTGTGCTTCCTAGAGTGCGTAACAATCTACGGAAACGTGCGGAGGCATGCGTGGCTGTAAATGGATCGCATTTTGAACAGCTTTTACAATTAATGTAAAAGCTGATCAAAATGGGAATCATTTACGAGGATTTTATTTAATAGGTAATATATAGGTAAATAATCAATCAATCAGGCTACACATCAAGCTATACAAATCCAGTTTTGGCCTCGCTTTGTATGATCTTTCCGTACAATGAACGGTCAGCTTAAGCTTCAAATGCCCTTTGCGTTCCAGGGCCGCGGTATCTTGCTAAGACAGTCCCGGGACCCCGGGTCCTTGATTGGACGGCGAGCTACCCATTGGATTTGCATAGCTTAGTGTACTCACTTAACCTTTTAAATACGCCAAAAATCCTAGCTAGTGATTTACTATTATTAATGTTTAATTTTCTTTGTTGTTAAATCTAACTTACATTAATTTGGACTCGTCACGCAACACAAAGGGTAGGAATTTTTGACTGTCCTAAGCCAGTATGAAAGTACGAAGGAAAAGTTACATCATAGGTTATGTGTACCATTGTGTTTTTATTGAAATGTTGTGTAGGTAGCAAGGGCGAGCGGTGATCTTTACAGTGATTACGTCACTCGGCCGCATAGGGTCCATGAATTTACGGACGGTGTCGGACAGAAACTATTTTAATTTTATGAAAGAAAATAGCGTTTTTTTTTAAATCGGATAAATATTTTTATATTAAAGCCAACTACCTATGGTTTCAATGACAACGGTGTTTACACTTACACACTGTATAAACGCCGTCGATACGAGGGATTTGAAGGAGGCTGTGAAACGTCTCAAACCGCGTTCATCCAGTGGGCCTGATGGCATTCCTAGTTTCTTGGCTAAAGATTGTATAGCTGTACTGGAGGGGCCTCTCTTGCATCTCTTTAACCTTTCACTAGCTAATGCTAGGTACCCTCAAATTTGGAAACGTTCCAGGGTTACCCCAGTGCCGAAAGTTAATGGGAGTATGAACGTATCAGAATTTAGGCCAATTGCTGTCTTATCAGTGTTTGCCAAAATATTTGAGTCTATTCTCAACAAACATACATTAATAATCAGGTTGGTCATTTGTTACACAATAGCCAACACGGTTTCCGTAAGGCTCGTTCTACTACTACGAACTTAATTGCATATGTAGACTACATATATAAGGAGATGGACAGTTACAAACAAGTAGACACGGCATACTTCGATTTCAGGAAGGCCTTCGACCTCATCGACAACGACAAATTGTTAGAAAAGTTGGCATTTATTGGCTTCACCTCCAAACTCATTTGGTTTTTCGCATGCCTTCTGAATAATCGATGTCAGTATGTGCGAGTGAACGGGTATAATTCCAGCGATTACTTCACGAGATCATGTGTAATGATCTGTCCTAACACCGTTCTTCTTTTTCTGAATGTCTCCTCTTTGCTGATGACTTAAAACTCAGTCTGGGTATTGAATCTGAATCAGATACCATAAATTTACAAAGAGACATTGATGCGGTGTTGAGTTGGAGCTAAGAAAATATATTACCATTAAATAATAATAAATGCAAAGTAATTACTTTCACTCGAAAACCTAGACCAATTGTAAATGTATATAGCTTACTTGACGCTCCTCTGGAAAGAGTAAATAATATTCGAGACTTAGGGCTGTTATTAGATTCTAAATTGGACTTTCATCTTCACATGACAAGTATCTGTAAGAACGCACATAGAATGTTGGGTTTTGTTATTAGGACTGGAACACAATTTGACAATGAAGTAGTTGCTAAAATAATGTTTAACGCATTTGTTCGTAGCAAGCTGGAATATGGTGCTGTTGTCTGGGACCCGTTTGAGGACAAGTATGTCCTTATGGTCGAGAAGATACAGCGTAAGTTTGCCCGTTGGTGCTTTCGGAAGCAATACGGGTACTATCCTCACCTGTATCCTTCTTTGTTCGTATCAGGCATGGTTGGTATGGAAACTCAAAAACTTATGCTAATGCTGACACATTATATCTCTATACTCTATCATAAGATCGATAGTCCGCAAATACTAGAGAGTGTACGCATCTTAGTTCCCCGTAATATACGACAGGAGTCAGGGCTGCTACGCAGCTAGCACCGCGCCGCCGGCCTCGTTTGCTAGCGCGCCCTGTCGCGCGCACCAGGCGCGGCGAGCACGCGCCTACTATCCGCGCATTACGAACGATTGGTGACATACTTGCTCAGTACTATGATCTTGACTTATTTGCTGATGGATTGAGTACACTTATAAGTAAATTAAGAAATATTGTAATTGACATTTTATAAATTTTTATTCTTGACATTGATTAATTATAACTACTATTCTAATGATGTATACTATTTTGTTTGACTATTTTGGTCTTTTTTGTTTAATTAATTTGACTATTTTCGTTTTATTAATTTGATTACTTTCGTTTTATATTTTTTATTATTTTATTCGTTCTGCAATTATTTCAACTTAATTTTTTTTAATTTAATGTGATTTATTTGGTAAAATTAATTATAACTATATATAATATAAAATAGATAATTTTAACTTAATGTATCTAATGTTGCAAGTGTGTGGATGCTATCATCTGTTAGCTTGTAGGCATGTATCTTATAAATAAATAAATAAATAATCAAAATGCAGATGCGTTGTCACTTCTGAGGATTAAGATGGTACGCCACATTTCCAGTTTTTACTGCGTCTCCGGTTCTCTACTTCCAATCCCACAGCACTAAGCTGCGATTTCACGCTGGTATTCTGTGAGAGCGTGGTCCTCCGAGCCGACCTATGCGTGCTACAAGCATAATATAGCTGCAATATCTATCATGTTGAAGAACTTAACATAAACATATAATGTTAAACACTCGCCGCCTACTGCCGGTGCACTAAAGTGGGGAAACAGGACGCCGCCGGTTGCTCTCTCTGTCGCACTCACGAGCCTTACGACAGGCCTGCCTATGCTGCGGGCAGCGAGTCTAGCATAAGTATAACTGTGACTCACCTTTGCGTTAGAGGCGGCTGAGTGGGCGGGGGCGAGTGTGGGGGCGGGGGCGGGCGCGGGTGTGGGCGCGGGCAGCGGGGGGCGCTCGATGTTGTGCTCCTTCAGTGTGTTTAGCAACACTGTCCTCTCCGCCTGCAATGTAATATTTCAATAATGTTTGAAAATATTTCACAAGATAAATTGGTTACTGTGAGCTATTTAACTGAATATTGTCAATTTTATTTGTTTTTCTCTTTTTTACTTAATCTCTGTTAACTGTGCATTTATTGTTACTAATTTAATATCACTATAATATATTAATAAATGATTATTTGATTTTAGCATAATTACATAATTGTTTGTTGCCCAGAACAAAATTAAAATAAAATAAAATCACTTGCTCAACATTCTCACACCATAAGAAAGCCAATTTATAACCTAGGTCCCATAGAATCCCTAAGAGAAAATTTTAAACAAATAAATATAACAAATATAATAACGCGTGTAGTGGCGGGTGAGAATACCCACTACCCCATATCTTCCCATGTGTATCGTAAGAGGCAACAGAGGGAAACTGAGACAGAAGATGGGCAGCAGCATCTTTCTGATAACAACAAACAGCAAGAAAAAACTGCGGTTCCGACCCGCTCGCTAAGCGTAACAAATATGGAAATATACCCCCCCATGAGCAACGACACAAATAAACAGCCCGCAGTCCCGCTATTCCTGGCTACGGTGGCGACCATGGTAACAGCAGGGTAAGGGGTGCTAAGAATCTCCAGCGGTTCCGAACCAGTGGTAAAGCATAATTATTTTTAATAAGTATTTTTCAGTATTCTTGTCTATCTATATTGAATAAAAATTATTCTTATCCATTCATACTAAACTACTTCATAACGCATAATATTGTTTGTCAATTGTGCTAAACAACTGTATATCATGCCACCTTACCATAATATTTAATGAATCTCTAAAATCAGGTATCTTTCCGACACGTTGAAAAGAAACTAAAATTGTGCCAATTCATAAGGATGGCTCTAAGCGAGACATAAAAAATTATAGACCAATATCAATTCTATCTATTTTCTCAAAAGCATTTGAAAGTATTATCTATTCTTATCTATACAACCATGTCAAAACTCAGCTAACAAATAAGCAGCATGGATTTATCAGAGGTGGATCCACTAACACGAATATGGTCGACTTTGTCGAAACCTTGACGGAATTTGTTGATCAACGCATTCAAGTCGATACGATATATACTGACTTTAGCAAGGCATTCGACAAGGTAGACCATGAAATACTTCTTCAAAAATTGTATCACTTTCGTATTGGGGGCTCTAATATACAATGGCTTGCGTCCTATTTAAAAGATCGCCAATCATTTGTGGTAGTTAATGGAGCTAGGTCGAAAGCATTTGTGGTCACATCAGGTATTCCTCAAGGTTCAAACCTTGGTCCACTCTTATTTTCAATATTTATAAATGATATAGTTAATTGTTTTCTTAACTCGGAACCTTACATTTTTGCGGATGACCTTAAGATGTTAAGGCCAATAAGAAACATGGATGACAGTGTATTGCTACAAGAGGACACTATGGTTCATAAAAGATAGCTTTATCTCTGCGACTAATTACTAACTAACTAATTAGGTCGGCATGCCCATAAAGTATGACATTGACAGGTACTGTCTGTACTACTAAGAAATTCAGGACTTCATAGGCGTGATTTTACTGACAGCTGTCGCAGAGATCAAGCTATCTTTTATGAACTATAAAAGATTGTGTAATTGGTGTAGAGACAATAAAATGCTATTGAATGAGAAAAAGTGCCACGTCATTTCTTTCTCCCGTAACAAAGAACCTTATTTATTCCAATATAAGATAAATAGTATGTGTTATATTCCAATATAACAGGTAAATGAATGAAAACTCGACGGTAGACATTCTCTGTGTGCTCCGCACGATTTAAATCCTTTAAATTTGTTTCATAGTTATTTCAATCGATAGAAGTTAAATACCAAGTCTCTCTATTCTGATTATCAAGTGATAGTGTTTTCTAAAAGTGTATTTATCTAAATCATAACTTTTTAATCGGCATAAAAAAGTCAGTGTAAATATAAAACACTCATAAACTTATTCAATAACAGTGTATAAACCAAGTTACCCTAAATGTGTTGTGTCGAACGTTGATAGAAAATAAGTGAAAAGAAAAATTGTTGTTAAAAATCAGTTAACGTTTGAATATCTAAAACTTTCCATGATCGATAACACTGCGTTAACCAATCAGCTGAGCGCTAATCATAAATTTAAAATATAGTAACGACATTTTTGAATCGTGATGAGTGCCAATAAATTGGTCTAATGGTCTAATGCGCTTGCACGAACGCCGTATCGTGAGATCGAATCTAATCCGATTGTGGAAATTACGTTTTTTCTTAGATTAAATAAATTTTGGTTTTACAACAAAAGTTAAAACATTTACAATTTATAATATAAATCTGAATCTGACTATACCTACTATTAGAACAAAAAAGAATATTTGTGTGGATTATAACAGAACAACTTAAGACACGACAAAACGACTTTATAAACTGTCTGAACTTTTAAATAACTTTTAAAATCGCAATACAAATGTCATAGATAATTATTATACGACGCATGACAAAAAAAAACTATATGATAAGGCCCTCAACACTCTATGATGTATTTTGTGATATTTTGATTATTTAAGATATATAATATTAAGGATTAGATATAACTATTTCGAAAAATGAATACCGGAAATTCATTACAACAAGAAAATGTGACAATAAGAAGACCTGCTAAGTGTAACTCGGAGAATGACTTAACGAAACTAGAGATCGATATGACATCATCGTCGACAATGTTATTTGAGAATACTATGGACAGTTTACCGAATTTATCAACAATTGAGAATCCTATAGTAGTTGAGTTAAAAGTAAATAATAATAATTTAGCCTTAAAACTACAGTCAGCGCATAAAGAAATTGAAAATCTAATAACAGAAAATTTTAAACTTAAACGTGAGTTGGAAAATTGTCAAATGGTAATTAAAACACTAAAACAATTAAATTCAACTCAAAATAACGAGGCACGATCTACAAACTCAACACCGAGAAGAAAGGGAACTAAACAAAATAAACTTAAACCACTACAAGATATCCTGTCACCATTGCTTAATAATATAAAATCTACAAATCAAGATTCTACGGCTGATAGTAGTATACTGACAGTTACTGGTGATATATTAACTAAAGACAGTAAAACGGATACTGCAACAGACAATTATACATACTCTGACAGTAACATGCACAAAAAAGAAAACAGTAATATGCGGATCACTAAAAGAAATAATAGTTTTAGCAACAAATCTGAAATAGCGTTAAATGTTCAGCAGCAAGATGTTGTAAATAAAGTTATTGACAAGGATAACATATCTACTAATATTACTAATAAACGGTCAATATTGGTGGATCGTATATCTGCAAAAAAAGAAAATCATAATTATTGCTGATCAGTATGGGAAAAATGTCAGACACTCATTGGAAAAACTTCTGGGTCCGGAATATCAAGTTTACTGCTTTATTAAACCTGGGGCCGAGTCAAGCGAAGTGTTAAATGTTTGGAAACATGAAATATCTTCATTAACATTAAATGATTGTGTGGTTGTACTTACAGGATCTAATGATCGTAATCCTTTTAAATTAAAATGTAACTTGATGAGTTGGGTCACCTCATGCCAAAATACAAATGTAATAATATCGGAGGTTCCACATAACAATTACCTAAACTTATTTAAGCTAAACTACGAACTAAAGTTCTTATGTAGCAATTTTAAGAGAGCGCTGTTTTAGATATGGATTATTGCAAATCTGTCCCACGAAGAAAGCTGTTTGCTTTGACTTATCGAGGTCATTACTGAAAGAAATTTTAAGTATTAGTTACAGACAAAATTATTTAAATTATATAAAGAACGCTGCTTGTGTAACAGGGAACTCAAAATTGTATTCAAAATGTGATAATTCATGTCAAACAGAGTTTTGTAATGTAGCGATGGAAGGATCAGCGAGTAATGAAACCGATGATTCTTCAGAGTTTTTTCATGGTCCAAAATAATCTGTATCTCTTGCATCAAAACATAAACGGAATTATTAACAAATCCGACTTACTTGCTGTGTGTTTAGTGGAATTAAATGATGAAAATAAAATAATTGGGATTATTTGTACAACCGAGCATAATACGGTTGAAGATGACATTAAACATCTATGTATACCAAATTTCAAATTAGCTTCAAGTTATTTGCGAAAAAAATAGAAAAGGTGGAGCTTGTATTTTAGTGGACTATAATATTAAGTATAACACAATTTACGAAGTTCAAGCTCTATCCATTAGTAACGAAGTTGAATGTTGTGCAATTGAGCTTGTTGAATTTGGAATAATTATAATATGCATGTACCGAGTGCCTAAAAATTCTGCTAAGGATATTGATACATTTTTAAATATATTGCAAAATATATTACACAAGTACTGTTTTAAATCAAAAAAACTTGTCATTGTTGGTGATTTCAATGTTGACATATTAAAGCCAAATATCTTGACAAATAGCATAACACAAATTTTGAGTAGTTACAATTTAAAAATTGAATTTAATGAACCAACAAGGTTATGTAGTGGTACCTGCATAGATAATGCATTCCATAATTTCACAAAACTAAATAGCGAAATACGAGATTTTGCACTCTCAGATCACACAGCCCAACTGCTGAAAATTCCAGTAATGAAGCATCATGCAATGACATATTGGTATGTTTTTAAAAGCGATTTTTGCAAAAAAAATTTAAAAAAAGTTTGTAGATTGCCTAAACTCTTTCACATTCAATGAATTATTTTCTTTAGATAATCCTAATGACGCCTTTGATTATTTCTTTGACATTTATAAATTATGTTATGATTTATGCTTTCCGAAAATAAAGATAAGAATGTCTTTAAAAACAAAACCGAAATGGATTACAAAAGGAATTAAGTTGTGTAGCAGAAACAAAAGGAATCAGTTATGGAAATTTCGCCTTAATCCTAATAAAGACTCAAAAGATAAATTTAAAAGGTACACTAAAAAATTAAAGAAAATT